CAGGGCAGTCACGAGGCCCTTCCCTGTGTCCCCTCCCTGTGTCCCAGCGAAAGCCATCCTGGGCATCACACAGACAAAGTCACACGGCTGAGGGTGGGGCCGCAGGGAGCCCTGGGAAGCTTCGTGCTCACCAGCTCGGTCCAGTCTGACAATACTTTTGAAGAGGTATTCCTTCTAACAGATTGAAAAACACCAAGAAGATCTTGTACTGAATAAACTAAAAGAACCAAGGGCAGTAATAGCTTTTCATCGATTGTTATAATCTTTGGGGAATAGTAATCATGACTTTCTTCAGTTCATTCGTGTCTTACTATGCACTGAAAAATTCATGGTTTTTAAATGAACTTAAAAATTCATTTATTTTTTACACAAATCTCTTTGTATACGTAACATAAAGTTCACCACTCCATCTGTCGAAGCATACCGCTGCCCGGCACTGTGGCCCCCTGCAAAGGCTCCAGGGTCCCCAGCTGGAACTCGACTTCCACTCAGCAGCAGCCGCCGCCGCGCCACCGCCCTGGCCGGAATCCCTCTTCTCCCCCACCCTCTCTGTGAGGGCGGCTCCCCAGGGGCCTGCTCTAAGTGGAATCAGACTGTGGTCCTTTGTGTCCAGCTTATTTCCTTGGGCATAACACCTGCTAGCATAACAGCATTAGCGTTCCTTCATGGTAGGTGGGTATCAGAGTTCCACTCCTTTGTAAGGCTGAGTAATATTCCATCATATGTACGAACCATATTTTGTTCCTCTTTTCGTCCTTGGAGAATAGAGTTACTGCCACTTTTTGATTTTTGTGAATGATAATGTTACAAACATTGTTATTCAAATAGGTTAGTATCTCTGCTTTTAATTTTTTTTTTTTTGGAGACAGGGTCTCACTACATAGTTTTCACTATGTACCAGGCTGGCCTCTAGCTCATAGAGATCTTCCTGCCTCAGCCTCCTGAGTGCTGGTATGCAGCCATGCACCATCATACTCAGCTCTGCATTTATTCTTTTCTTTTCTCTTCTTTTCTTTCTTTTTGAGACAGGGTCTCACTATGCAGTTCAGGCTGGCCTTGACCTCACTTTGTAGTCCAGGTTGGTCTCGAACTTCCAATGATCCTCTGCCTCAGCCTCCCGAGTGCTGGGATTACAGGCATGCACCACCACGCCCAGCCTCAGTTCTCTGCATTTAATATTTGTAAATATATACCCAGAAGAGGAGTTGCTGGATCAAACGGTAATTCTATATTTAATTTTTTGAGGTAGGACCATACTATTTTCCACAACAGCTGCACTACATTACATTCCTAGCAACCCGTCCAAGGCTCTGATTTCTCCCAGCCTGCACTTGTCCCTTCTTGGATGACAGCTGCCCCAGTGGGTGAGAAGTAGCATCTCACGCTGTGCTTTTGATTTGCACTGATTCCCTTCACAGTTGGCAATCGCAAGGCAGGTTTCATGGTCTGAGAAGAAGGAGCCATGTGTTGGGAGGCAGGTGTGTTCAGGGTTCTGGGGACAAGGCCATCCCCTGAGTGGCTCCTGGCTTGTGCAGCAGCTCCTGCACCACCACCCCTGCCCAGGGCCACACCGTCGACCACAGCCCGTGGGCCCTGACCCAGGAGGGCCACGCAACAAGCACCAAAGTGGGCGGGTGGGTGACCCCGGGGTCAAGTCCAGTTGTGAGGAAGCTCCTCATTAAATTTCCCGTATGCAGGTTCTTCTCGTGCTCCTTCCTCTGTTTTCCAAACCCCTGCAAGTCCCCTCTCCCATCTCCCTGTGCGCCCCTCCACCCGCCTGGGCTGCCTGGGAAAAGGTGCTTTGCAAAGCTTGGCTTCTTTGTTGACTGTGCTCCAATCCCTGGGCCGCAAACCCACGCTGCCGGCTCCTACGGCCTGCCGCCGAGATGCGCCAGAGATGGCCCGGCTGGCCCGGCAAGGACCCTGCCTCTCGGGCTCCTCCTGTCTGAACCCTGGAGCCTCCTGGGCTCAGCTACAAGCGGAAGGTCGCTTGCTGGAACTCACCGACAGCCACCCAGGCAGACACCGGGCCACCTGCCCGCACCGCTGGCACCAAGCCGTCCCACGAGGCCCCAGTGAGCGGTGAGGAGGTCTCTCCAGACCACAGCCCCACCCGGCCCTCCGCTCCCAGAGACGCGTCACGTGCAGTCGTTTCTAAAGACTTCCACTCGCCTGTGCAGCCATGAAGACCCTGCTGACTGTGCGCCTCCCGTGTCTTCCACAGCGGCTGTCACCCCCGTGTCCCCTAAGGAGCGTCTCAGAGGGAGTGAGGGGGACCCTCGAGAGTCAGGCTCTTTTTGTTGCTAAACAAAAGCCCAGAACAGTGCTTGAGCCCCAGCGCGCACTGTACAGGCGCCAAGGACCTTGGCCTCGAGTCCAGTTGGAGGCAGAGCCTGCTCGCTCACACGGAGGCAGCCAGGAGGGAGACTCAGGCAACAAAATCACTTTTCCCAGGGAAAAACGCAGATGTGCACCTGGCCCGCACCACTAGCCTCAGCTGAAAATCTACAGGGCAGTGCGCACCAGGCTTCTCAACAAGCATCTGAGTGTGGGGACAGCTCACTTCCTGCCAAGCAGAGCAAAACACACTTCGATACTCGCACCTGCCGGCCGCACCCACCACTCCTCTCCGTCAGAGCACCGTGGACACACAAGCTCCGGACAGAGCGCCCGCAGGGAGCGACGGGGCGGCCTGGCACAGCCTGCTGGGGAAAACAAGCAGCGTCACTCTATCTGAATGAAATTATTTTAGAGCCAGACTCTAACATCACTTAGTAGCAGGGTTACTCTTGCGGGAGGATGAGTCTGTCGTGTGTGGGCTCGTGCCTAGAATCTGCATCATACGGTCACCCCGATTGCTGACCACTGACCGTGCCGGACTCCCGCTCCTGCCCAGACTGAGGGACTCGACCTGCTCCTTGGAAGGGGCCCTTCCAGCAGCTTTTGCTCATCTGGATGCACGTGGATTTGGAGTGGTGGAAATTCTCTGTGAAAACTGTAACTTACTAAAAGGAGCCCATTTTTCCCACAAAAGAATGTTTATTAAAGAACGTACAAGCACAGCTAAGAATTATAGTATATTCAAAACATACTTCCCTAACATGGGGATCTGAAAAATACCATAAGCAAGATGAGAACATTGCACAGTATGTATTCTGGCATTGCCTGTGGATAATAATTACAGCTTTTTTAAAGTGTTAAGTTTATGCGGTCATGAGATCCTAGCACTCGGGAGGCTGAGGCAGGAGGATTATTGGGAGTTCAAGGCCAGCCTGCACTACATAGCAAGACCCTTTTTCCAAAAAAAAAGTCAAACTCTGTGACTCCAGATAACCAGACAATACACATAGATGAAAGTGACCAGGTCAGATTTCATAAATTCTTTACATTTTTCACCAAAAAAGACACCAGGCCCTCTCAGTTCTGTATTAGTCACGACCACTCACAGAGTGAAATGACAGTTGGCTCCAAGACAAGAAAGGAGGGGGACGCGCCTCCCAAAGCCTGGGTGCGGAGAAGCCCAGCAGCGGGACCCAGCCTTCCTGAGCCCTCAGGCCCGGCCCGCCCCACCAGAGTGCGGGAAACCTTCAAACCCGAACCAGGCCCACGCATCTCCACAGGCATGTGGCATTCCCCGAGCGGAAGCGCCTGAAAATGCAAGTCCTCGCCCCTCTTCCCACCTTCCCTGCTCTGCCTCCCAAGAAAGACAGAAACGCCGAGGGTCTGTGCGGTGACTCTGACTCCTAGGCGGAGATTTCTCACTGCTGAGGGGATTAAAATCGAGATGCTCAGAGCGCTCAGAGCGGAGCGTATTCAATGTTGTCATGAAAACACCCCGCGACAGTGTCGCTTTAACACGTGGAGGAGCACCCAGTCCACAATATTAGAAGAGACAAGAGGAAAGGTTTTCATCATATTTTGACCCTTTGGCTTCGTTAGCGGTGTGACATGGGGCTCTGCACCACCTGCGGTCTCAAAAATTGCAAACCAGTAGTAAAAGTATTTTATCACGATGCTAAAATTCAAAGACTGACATATCCCTGTACAAAACAGCCTTTAGCAAACTGAGCATTGTGGTGCATGACTGCAACCCAGCCCTTGGGAGGCTGAGGCAGGAGGATCACTTGGAGTTGGAGGCCAGCCTCAAATTCTTGATAGCAAGACTGTCTCAAGACACCAAAAAAATAAAAAATAACCTTCAGCCAAAAAAAAAATTAATAGCTAAAGCTTCATTCCCTAAGCAGAGGGACAGACTGGCTACGGGTAAGAGGAAAGCTCTGTGCTTTACCAAAAGCGTAGCTCAGGTGAGTGGGACACGAAGGTGTGGCTGGACTCCATTTTAGCCGAGGACAGGACAGCAGTTGCCAGCTAAAGGTCACCCTGCGAGCACCAGCGGTTCCACCTCTCTGGTCAAGGACCGACATGAAAGCTGCAGTCGCCGTGCTGTTCGGGTGATTTTCCGGCAGCCTCGGTGAACTGCTAAGCGCTTTCTCCAGGTGTGGTGGACGGAAGAGGGTACGGGGCCCCAGTCGCCATCAGCGAGGTCACCGGCACCAAGCAGGCCCAAGTCTGTGCCAGCCCGGGAAGCCACGGGCCAGGGCTTGCTCATCTCAGGGCTCCTCACCAACGTGACAGCTCCCCGGGGCTTACCCTTCTATCTAAATGTGGGGTGTTTCCCTCCCTCGTTCCTGAAACAAACCGAGGGACAGTCCCAATCCGAGGACCCTGAACTTGGAAGTGAGTGTGGGGCCCGTGTGACCAAACACTGCTCGTCTGCCACTTCCTGCCTGCAGAAACCAAACCACACCTCCTACTTCCTGTGGTGATGAAAAACAAAATAAGCAGGGTGAGCAGGGCTCCTCTGAGGCACTCAGCAGGGCCTTCAACACGCGCGGAGCCGCTTGTGAAAGTCTCAGAATAATCTCTCCCTGTCTTCTGTGCACAATGTGGAAACACTTCCTGGAGGGCCGTGAAAAACAATACAGGAAGTAAAGCCTGACCTTCAGGTCACCAAAACGCTCGCTCCACGGAGCCTGGTCCTCGGGGATTATGGGGACCGCAGTTTTGTCCACTGGGGTCCCTAGTGGGTCCTCAGCACCCAGAACCGTGCCTGGCATGCAGTTGTTAAACGTCAGAAGCACAGTGAAGACAGGGCACCAAGTGTGGGAAACCCTTTCACCGCAGCCACGAGCAAGTCTGGCAGTGGACAGCAGCATCCTCTTCCTGCTCTGCGGTGGCCAGGGCCCTAACTGCACCTTCTGCGTGGCTGAGGGTCGCCACTCGGCCGTCCTGTATTTTAAAGATGCTCGCCACTCCTTTTAAAATACCAAATTGCAGGGCTGGGGATTTAGCTCAGCGGCAAAGCGCCTGCCTGGCAAGCGCAAGGTCGTGAGTTCCATTCCTGGTACCGGAAGAAAAGACAAAAAAAAATAAAGTAAAATACCAAATCGCTCGAGGAGTCTCTACATAATTCCCGAGCTCCTCCGGGCGAACCTCCCAGACGCTCTCTTGCCAGTTCACTCTCATCGCTCTCTGTCATAAACGCGCTGCTCTAACAGCTGTTCCTAATTGACTGTGAGCTCCAAAGCCAATCAGCTGGTGTCCACCAGGAAAGGCGGGGCGCCCCGCGCAGTACAAAGTGTGACCCAAAACCGTCAGGTCCGTGCCTCATCTGGATCTCCAACTCCTTCCACCTTCGGGGGAGGGGCCCGATGGCCATGCTCTAAGGACTCCCTGCAGAGACATTTCCTGGAGGGAGACAGTGGTCCACTAGGCCAGTGAACTGTGGGGATCCACGTCTGGGGCAGCGTCTGAAACAAAATGCCAGGCACACAGGGAAGCCCGTGTCCAGAGACCGGAACCCACGTGGGCAGCGAGCTTCCAGGAAGAAGCCACACTGAGGCGGGGAGGCATCATATCGAAGTGCAGCAGGGCGAAACTCGGGAACAAGCCGAAGCCTCCTTCCCAGGTGGTCTCAGAGGCACACCAGGCTTGACTGCCCAGGACAGGACCAAGCCCTCGGCCCCCAGCCAGACAGATCTCGGTAGGCTCACACGCCTGGAACTATGGCAGGAGAAGGAAGACCGGGTACTCACGTGGCCCAAGGGCATCACCACTGGGCAGGGCAGAGTGGCCTTTGTTTGAAACACCACGATGGTTAGCCAACAAGGGCTCACCAGCTTGGGGAGGCTGAGGCAGGAAGATGTAGGTATACCAAGGAGCCAAGAGGCTGCTGTAGGGACAGATGCTCCGGGCCAGCCCAGTGTTATGGCTTGTGTCTGGATGTCCCCCAGAGCCTCATGCAGCGATGGGCCGGGGACAGGCTTTTCAGAGGCGGCTGAATCTGGAGTTTGTGATTGGTTCATTGTCTAGTGCTGGGATTGGGGCTGTGAGTGCTGCACCTGCCCTACGTGGAGAGCCTGCATATAATATAAAGGAGGGAAAGAGGCTTGCCCCCTGCCCCTGCTCTTGCTGTCTTCTGCCGCCTGAACAGTTGCCCCTGTGCAGTGTCACCCTGCCTTGGAGCCAGCCGAGTATGGACTGCTGAGTTTAAATCTGGGGTGAGAAAACTATCAGCTACCGTAACTTTCTGTGAGCCAAGCACAAGGTTAGCACTTTCCATTCATTATTCCATTTACTCTTCACTGGGGACCCGGCCAGGACCTTCACACTGAGCTACATCCCCAGCCCTTTTGTTCTGTTTTGAGACAGAATCTTGCTAAGTCACTAAGTTATTCAGGCTGGGCATGAACTCACTTTGAAATGCATTGGGAAGAAATCCAGCATTTCCATTAAAAACCATCAAGCTTTGGGGCGCTTTCATGTGGCATTTCCTGACCTGGCTACTACCTATTTACCTGGGTGTGTTTGTGCAGACGTGGGCTTCTCCTGTGTGCCCTCCCCGTGTAGTCACACACATCAGTGAAGTCTCTACATGCCCGTGCAGTCCAGCTCCACCCGTCTTGCTCCCGTGCTGAACCGCCTTCCGTAAGCAAGGAAGCGGGAAAGGTGGAGGACGGAGCCAGTCAGCCTCCCCCTCCCCACGGCAGTGCTGACAAGAGCCCTTGTGAGGGCTGTTGCCATGGAGATGGGAGCTGTCTAGGCCCTTGCACCTTCACAGCAGAGACGGCCAGGATCTCTTTCCACCCCACGCCCAAGGGGACCGCAGGTGCTGGGCCGTGGTGAGCGGCCGCAGTGTAGTAACAAAGGCCCATTTGCCAGGAAGAGACAGGCTGCGCTGAGAAAGGAAGCAGAGAAAAGAGAGGGGCAGGACACAAGGAGATTCCGGCCTGGAGCCACTCCTGGCAGGCTGTGCCCTCGCAGGGCCCTGTGGCACCCATGCCTGCCCGGGCGGAGGTGAGGATTCCCACATACAAACCCCCGCGCCACCCTGGGCTAGCCGATCAGCCTTGAGGCCTGGGTGTCTGGAGGCAGGGCCGGCAGGGGACCAGGGACAGCCCCAGGGCACGCAGGAGTCCTTCCTGCCATCGCAGCCGGAAGCATTCCCCACACACTGAGGGACGTCTGTGGCTTGACCCCACCCGTGGCTGGCAGCAGCTGCCGGTCGCCATGGTAACTAGAGTGCCACCTGCCCATCTCCCAAGGCCTCACACTGGTGGTGGGGTGTGGGTGCTGCAAGCAGGAAACCTAGAAACAGGGAACAGCTGCAGGGGGGCGGGGGCGGGACCAGGCAGGTGTGGACAGGGCTGGGGACAAGAAGGCAGGGGACAGTGAGGGCCTCTCACACCCGCCCCAGGCGCAAGCCCTGCGCTGGACTGGGAGGGAGCGAGGCTGAAGCCACTGTGCAGAAGCCGAGCCGCAGGATGAGACTCGAAGCTCACGGGATCTGAGGGGAGGAGAAGGAAGGCTGGAGAGGGGCTGCCATGGGAACAGCACCAAGCAGGGATGAGCGGACCAGGAGCAGCATGGAGGGAGCTGGAGGCCAGCCTGGGGCGGGTGGTTGCGGGAGTAGCAACCTAGCAACCTAAGCTGGCCTGTGATCCCAGCAGTGTGGGAGGCTGAGGCAGGAGCATTACATGCTCGAGCACAGCCTGAACAATTTAACACGACCCTGCCTCCAAAGAGAAAAAACTTTTATCAAACGAAAAAATTTTAAAAAGGGCAGGTTACAGAGCTCAGGGCAAAGGTACCAGTGCAATGCCCAGAGGAGAGAGGGGAGGGAGGGAGCAGCCGAGGGACGTCCGCTTGCAGGGAGCAGAAGCAGGAGCACAGCCGTGCGAGGGTCCAGGCGTCCCCAAAGCCCTGGAACAGGGACCCCGCCCTGCTGAGCCAGCTGGGGAGCGGGGCCTGGAGGGAAGAACGCCGAGACGCTGGGCCCAGAGCAGCGCCAGGCAAAGCAGGAAGTGACCCGGAGGGCAGAGACCCGAGCGGCTCTGGCTCTGAGCGCCGAGGTCCGGGACCCAGCCGACTGTCCGGGAGCGAGGACATCACCCCCACGCGGGACAGGAATGAGGGGGACTTGACTGTAAATAACCTCCCGGCAGAGACTGGCGACGTCCCGTCTGAGAGGTACTTGGTTAAATTTACCTTAACTTAGACGTTGTACTTTTACACCAGAAGCCAATAAAAACAAACTTTTAAGTTTCAGCCATGGTTTCAAGCCTCTGAAGCACTCAGAGGAATGGGGCTCGTGCTCCGTCACCGTTCACCAGACCTGAGTCTGGGCCAAACTCGAGGAGCCCCGAGGAGAGAAGCTGAGGAACACAGGGAGGAGACGGCGCGTCTGGGCAGAGGACAGGGGACAGCGGGCTCCTGGCAAGTAAGTGAACAGTGACCCTAGAGACTGAACTCAGACACTCGCCTGCGACCCCGGGCCGGGCTCCAGCCTCTCATCTGCAATGGCGTTTTCAGTGAACTCCAGCCTCAGAAATATTCACCAGTTCCCCCAAAACCGCGCTCATGCTGTGTTCACTTCATCTGTCTGCGTCAGGAAGACTGGGGACTCTGAGAGCTGCCCTGGACGAGCCTCCCGCCAGCTCCCTGCCATGAGAGACGGCAGTAAGCCCTGCGACCTGGAAATGCTGGCCACCTTCAGGGAGAGCCCGCACTGCAGCAGGGCCCAAGCTCTCTCCAGGGGTCCCAGCGTGTGCCAGCAATACCCTAGAAGGAAGACTGTATCCCCAAACCAGCAGCTCTCCGGCATGGCAAGGCTTTTTAAAGTTAACCCCGTAAGCTGCCCCAGTGATCGAAGGTATGATTGCAAGAACTCTGGTATTTCCACCTCTCCATGCTGATTGCCTGTAGCTACTCAGACAAGCACAGAGCAACCACAGACAGGGACAGGCGTCAGGGGCCCAGCTGCCCAGCAGCACAGAGCACCTTGAACCATGGAACAGCTGTGAGTGAGTGACTGAGCGGGTGGATGGACGGAGAGATGGATGGAGGGTGGATGGCTGGAGGATGGCTGGAGGATGGGTGCAGGATGGGTGGAGGATGGGTGGAGGATGGAGGGTGGGTGGATGGAGGGATGGATGGATGGAGGGTAGATGTGCGGAGGGTGGAGGGGTGGTGGGTGGTAGTTGTCAAGCCCTTGGGGACACACTAAGGGACCTGGCATTGAGAAGATCGGGCTCCTGGGGCCAGGGATATAGCTCAGTGGCACAAATGCCTGCCTGGCAAGTGCAAGGTCCTGAGTTCGATTCCCAGTACCAAAAAAATAAAAGAGAAGACCGGGTTGCTGTCCTCACTAAGACAAGAGCTAAGGGCTTCCAATAGGGGCGTGTATGCTCCGTTCCTGTTTCCTCATCTGTGACATGGGAAGATGAGCTGTGCTCGCGTGCTGAGGTTGTCAAGGACAGACACCAGGCCCGTGCGGGTGGAGGTGCCACCTGGACCGCATGCCACCAAGCAGCTGAGTCACAGAAAGGGACTCAGGAGACCACAGCCAAGCCAGACCAAAACGAGCAAGGCGTGGAGCCGCACACCCCAAGGCCACGGGCCCAGGACAGCAGAGAGCAGCTCTGCTCCTTCGATTCCTACATCGGAGCCTCCTC